GAGGTCTTTCATTTTTTACTAAATACACAGTGTGTGCATTTTAAATAAGGAAATCTGTACTGTGATTTTCATTATTATCAGTGAAAAGTACCACATGGACGGTGGGATAAAATGCAATAATAGTTTTAAATACTATCAAATGGGTACTCTAGAGACACTAAACTAAAATTCAATTAGTCATTTTACAAAAACCTGTTAAAAAGAAACAGCAGTTTTAATTATAGCAAAAGATGAATGTATTGAGATGTCAATCACAATTCCTATGCTGAGAACAGAACATACAGTGGTAAAAAGGCCAGGTACATTTGTTTCATGAAGTTATAAGCATAAAAAAGGTTGACAAACAAGGTCAAGGACACAGATGTATTTGAGATGAAAGAACAATCTCTAGTTCCACACAATATCTCTCATTCTCTAATGGGTTTTTAATATGTATATATATATATATAACAGACTTTTGAGGGATAGAAGATTGGAATTAATTTGACAAGCAAAAACAAGAGAGAACAAGAAGGAGCAAAAGAAATATGAAAAGAGAACTCTTTCTTGACTGTGTTAATAACATGTAAACATAAAAAATAAATAGGTGATATTTATAATGACAAAAGCTGAATATTAACAATTATGTGAAGCTCTTCTAATTACAGAGAAATCTGAACTCAATACAGTGCTTGGGAAGCGGAGTATTTTTAATTCAATTAATTTTCTAACAAGAGAAAAAAACTTTATTGTCTGACTCTTGACCAAAATATTTTAAACCTTACATTACAGAAGTTGACATTTTTTCTAAGTAAAATGAAATATCTGTCTTGGGACATCAAAGATGAAAAAAATTATGGTCTGTGCTCTTGAGATCATTATAGTCTCATGGAGAGAGGGACATATGAAAACATACAATAATAACAGCTGCAACTGAAACAGTACAAAGTATAGTGGGGAATACATTTGGCTATGAGGATAGAAGAAATATAAGGCCGGGCCCAGTGGCTCAGCCTGTCATCCCGCGCCTTTGGGAGGCTGAGGTGAGTGGATTGCCTGAGCCCGTGGGTTCGAGACCCGTCTGGGCAGCGAGACCTCATCTCTATGATAAATCAAAAAATCAGCCGGGCGTGGTAGCGCCTGCCTGTAATTCCGGCTACTTGGAAGGCTGAGGCGGAAGGATCGCCGGAGCCCAGCGGGTCGAGGCTGCAGTGGCTGGGAGCGGCCGCTGCACTCCAGTCTGAGCGACAGAGTGAGACTCCAACTCAAAAAAAAAAAAAGAAGAAATATCAGAATTCCAAGTCAGTCAATAAAATCTTCTCAAAGCAAATGGAACTTGAATAGACATAGTAAGAAGAATAAAGGTTTGCAAATGGATAAGTGGACAAATAAATGTCTAAGCAGAGTGAAGAGATAATACAAAGGTCCATGCAAAGAAGTCAAAGAGCACAGTATTTTTTAATTATGGAAAAGGAAGCCCAGGATGGTGGGAAAATGAGAGTTTGGATCCATTTGAGGATTCCCATTATATGTCTTTTATTCTAATCTGTAACATTTTATTTATATTTTATTTTCCAGTATTATCCTTGTGAGCACGGTTTTTATTTATCTTTTGTCAATGTTTATTAACATCAGATACATAAAGTACCCAACTCATCATTGTACAACACAATAACTTTTCACAGTTTGTTCATGTCTGCAAAAAACACCATCCAGATTACCAGCATCCAGAAGACTCATTCATGGTACCTTAAAAGTACTAAACATTACCACCCCCCAACTCCTCCCCTGCTAGTTAACAATATGCTTACTTCTAACATCATCAATTAGTTTTGTCTGGTTTTGAAATTTATATAACTTATATAAATTTATGCCGGGCATACTCATTGTATCTGGTTTATTTTCCATATGATTATCTTTGTGAAATTCTTCCGTGTTGTTGTATATAGCAATAATGCGTCCACTTACATTGCAGTATCATACTCCATTATATAGATATGCCACCATTTATTTGTCCATTGCACTGTTGACGGGCATTTGGGTTGTTTTCAACTTGGGACTATTATAAATGCGGATGTTATACATATTCTTACATATGTCTTCTGGTGAACATGTGTACATTTCTACTGAGCTTACCCTCTAGAATAGACTGGCTGGTGACTAGATTATACAGATTGATGCTCTGACAGTACTCTATGAGGGATTTATTTGCTCCACATTCTCACCAGTACTTGGAATTATTATTTTCACTTTTCCATGGAGTTGCAGTAGTTTCTCACTGCAGTTTGACTTTGCATTTCCTCGATGACAGAACTGAATAGGTGCTCATATTTCCATGCAACTTTTGGCCATTAGGATGCTCTTATGAAGTGCTTATTCTTTTGCATGCTATTTTTAAACATATTTAGCAGACCTTTCAGCCATCATCATTGTAGCCTGACAAAAGTAGTACATGGGGCAAAGAACTGTCCCAAAACATGTTAAGCAGTTATTAATCATGTATTTTTCCCATAAGTACAAATACTTTTCTTCTTTTTCCTATTTTTCTCTTCTACCCATGTTCAATATCCTTTTATTCTTATCTATGTATTCACCCACTCCTTTTTTTTTCTTGGCTTCAAGTCTGAAAAGGTCAATCAACAGAAACCAATTAACAACACCAAGTATCATAGAGAGTTCAATAACAAGCTTGCATCACAGCGCCAGCCTTGATACTTCAGAGTTGCCAAACATTTGAGATTTTCTTTTTGTTTGGTTTGGTCTGTGTTTTTATTCTTAAAGTAAAGAAAAAAAGAAAGTGTGCCTGTGTATTTATTTGAAAATAAAAAGATCATTCATAAAATTAATAAAATAAATCTAAGTGTCTCTAAATTTTTGCAATGTATGAGCAGATAATGTTCAATCAGCACTTTAAGGGAATAGCAGAAGGGAAAGGAAAAAACATAGTATCTGTTGTAAAAAGAGATGAGTAAAATAAGAATATACACGAATGCTTTCTCTCATCTCTCTGAAGACTAAACACAGTTACATTTGGCAAATATAAAGTGGCCATGACCTTTTTCCCTCCTCTGCATGATTAATTACTTAATGTCCTATTAATTGGAAGATGTGACTGAATTTCAAACACTTTCATTTTCTGTATATATCATCCTTTACTGTAACCACCGATTAAGCTGTTCGTCAAAGGTGAGCCAACAAGGTCATCTGAGCAGTACTTCATCACCCACTATCAATGATAATTAACAATGGTAACATTTCCATAAATCAACATCTTTCTGATTATTCTCTGATGATAAACAGTCAAAATGTGTGCATCCCAGCCCACCCTCTTTAATTTTACATGAAAAATTTAGTCTAAATATACCACAGAGAAAATTCCGATGAAAAATTACAGTCATTTCTGCAATTAAAATGCACCAGGAAAATTAGGCTATGTACCTTTGAAAGAAGAATACACTCCTAGGCACAAAACTAAATGAGTCCGCTGACAAAGTAGGGGTCAAACATAAGAAGCAAAGAGTGTCAAACACATAGTACCAATTTATCCCTCAGCAAATGAAACCAGGGTTCAGTTCAGCCTTAGAAATAATCATTTCCCTACTCAGTCATCAAAAGTGACTATTAGAATAAAAAGGGACTTTAATTCATTCTACCATCAAAGTATGTATCACAGGGTGGACCAATAAGAAAATTTTTTCAAGGATATGTTTACCATAGTAATTTACAGACCAAAATTTGGAAATGTAATTTTAGATTTTGTTAAGTATTTTGCCTTGTGCATTTGTGATATGCTGTTTATTGCTGATGATTTTAGTTTTTGTTTTTCTGAACCACATTAATTAGCAAGTTCAGGAATACTACTGATAAAATTTTCTCTCTTCAATCACCAGAATTGTTATTTTCACTTCCAACAGCTATATCCAAAATGACCACTTCTAAAATTCACATTCAGTTTAGAAATAATTTATTGAATGTGCTGAAAAATTAATTATAAGCTATTTTTAGTCATTATAAAAATACTAGAAATATGCTTTAAAACCCAAATTATTAGTAATAAGCAATAGCACATTAATTATATTATATATGATTAAATATTATTATATTACATGTGCATGGTTATATATAATATATAATTATATACTATATTTACTTGTTTCCATATTAATATTGGAAGAAAAATAGTTTATTCTCTTTCATATTATATTTAATTCCTGTTAACATTTTCGATTTTTACAATGTATTAAGTTATTGCCAAACGTATATGCACATAACTTGGAATTAGTTCCAAATTAATATGCAGAATTGAAAGCACAAATATTAGTCCAATATTGTATGGCATGGTATGTATATATTGATAACCTATGTTAATGTTTTTCACAAATAAGAGAAAACGCAACTCAAATTGGCTTAAGTAATTAGAAAACATATTTCTCACAAAAACAAAAATCAAAAGATATCATAAAATCTAGGTAAAGAATGAACAGGTCTTGGCCATATTTCTCTACAATTCGTCCAGAAAAATCTTCTCCATTGGACAATTTTGTCTCCCTGCTGTCTTCCTCATAGTCGTGGACATACATGCCCAAGACCAGTGAAAGACACAACCCGTCATCCTACCATATAAGCCCTTCCCCTCAGCCTGGATCCACCTGTGTAATTTAACTAAACAGCTACCAACTGAATGGATCCCATGTTTAAGATTTTTTTCTGAAAGGATTTTGCTTGTTCTGCCTCTTGATTTTTGGCTTGCCATTTTGCTTAGTATTAAATAGAGAAAAATATGAATACTTTTTTTCCCAAAGACAGAAATAACAAAGATAAAGTACATATTCTTGAAGAATACAGGATTATAGAAAGTTATGAAGAGAAAGGCAAAAGAATACTTTGAAGCTCTTAGGTGTGGTTCAGTAGCAAAGTAAATGAGCTTATTATGACAATTATCATTGTTATACCTAAAATAAGCAAATTCTACCTATTCCAAAGCTATTTGCCCAACACTGAGTAAACAGAATGGCTCTTACCTTGAGGCATCTCGGGTGGCAGATAATGGGGCTCTTGGACACTGACGTGCACCCACTCAAAGTCATCATACAGGTCCTGGTGGTAATCACAGGCCCCTGGACCATCATCAAAGGTGCAGCCACCTAGAAGGAGAAAAAAGGATTCCTGTTACATATCATGTTGAAATAGGTGATGTGGTTCTCATACTTTCAATATAAACGATACCCTTGTTTACCATATCATCTTTACATTTTCACATAAAAATAAATTTCTACTGGTATGTTGTGTTTGAATAAGAAGCCAGTCTGAACCTCAGAAGGCAAGCTAAGGCACAGAGATGTTGAATTATTAGAAATAAGAGAAGATACCCTCGTGCTCCCAAAGACAAAAGGGAAGACGCTGTGTCCAAGAGGCCAAAGAATGGGCTCTCAGACACAGCGAGACATCAGTTTTATTCGGGAGTTTATTTACAGCGAAGATGGTCTGGGAGCGGTGAGCTGGACAGGATGAAAAAAAACCACTCCCGATTGTAAAAGGCACGTAGGTTACATAGCATTTTACGTGAGCAGAGTGCAGGGTTAAGCATGAAAGGAGTAGGATTTCCAATGCACAGGCATAGTGAGAGAAGGTGCCTATGCACACATCGCATGTACACAGCATGGCCGTGAACTCTCTTCAGGGGTAGGTTTTTTAGCATTATAATGAACTAAAGATGAACTAAGAATCATCAAAGATTATTGACATGGATCTAGGTGTGCTCTATCTGGTCTGAACTAGCCCAGGGGACTGACTGCTTCAAGAAGAGTGCACCATAATATCCACAATGCCCAGCTGCAAGATATGACCAGCAAGTGTGGAGAACACTTGCCCGTGGCCACGGCATGCCCTACGTGTCCTGGTCAGAGCATGAAGGGAAGGGGACATCCTGGATTGGACAGCTATAGGACCCCATCCCCAGGCTCCAAATCCCTGCTTGAGAGCCATATCTAGAGTGTGCTCATGTTATCACAGAGAGTGTGTCAGTGTCACTCTACAGATATATGTATAAGTGAGGCTATACCGAAATATACAAACATCAAGAATCAAAATAGTTTTTAACAAGTTTAGTGGGAAGAAGAGGAAGGAAAAGAGTGAATCTCGTTTTTCTTTGTAATATAAGTTCAAAAAGGTGAAGTTAATGTTTAAGTCTAACCAAATTTCTCACTTTAAAAAAAGGCTTTAAAATCTACTCATAATAGCAAATGAGACATAAAAAGCTTTACAGGGTCTAAAGTGTCTTAGGTCTGTGATATCTTTCATACTTTCATATTTCATTTAGCTTACTTTCACACACAATTATGATCTTAAAGGTGGGGGGACTGAAACACAAAACCAATCAGATCAGCCTATTATCACTCTCACCTCATTCACTTTATTTAATAACCTGTTTTCTTTAATGGAGGCATCATTTCTCCTTTGCATCAGTCACTTTTTTCTGGCTTTATTTTCAGGGGTAATTGTGTGGCAGAAATAGAATGATTACTTTTGCTTCTTAGCCTATATATACAGGCACACAAAACTCAACACGTTTAGTTTATTCCGATCATGAAAATCAGAACTGGCCTATATGTCTAATCCTGAAAGAAAATGGATTAAAACTAATGAAAATCCAACAATGGATTTAATGAGAAAAACCAATAACCTGTCCCCCATCAAATAGCTTATTGTTTAGTTTACATGGGAATCTCTGTGAATAAACTCAAGGGATTTTCTGACCAAGCAACAGCCTTGGGGTAAACTTCAGTCTTGTAAATGCTCTGCAAAAAAAAGAATTCATTTTCCTCGTCAAAAGTTTGCAATCTGAATATGCATCAAAGTTACATGCCTCACCAACGGCAGAGAAGAGTCAGTGTCACAGGTGAAGCAGGCATGATCAGAAATGCCCAAATGACGCTAGAGCCCAAAAGCCTTTTCCAAAAGCAAAACATGTCATGTGTATCCTTGAATCACTCTTAGGACTACAGCAATGTTTAAAAGAACCAAACTCCAGAAGGTTGAAAGCTTAATATTGCCTTTTAAATATGCCTAAAATAGATGTTATATAAATGATCTCATAAAAAGTTATGTACTTTTTAATTTAAAATTAATCAATGAAAAGAGGTTGCTAGAAAATGCATCTTCACACAGCAAGGGGAAAGTTTTTCTCAAAATATAATTTGCTCTCACGACCCTAAAATAATTTACTGTTTTGCAACCCAGGCCTTCAGGGCCCCCATTACCCTTTATAATACTATGAGTGCCCTCTGTATGTAAATTTAAACTACCAGAGGAACCCACATTGACTCATTTGGAAGACAAATGGCCTTAATTGCTGCCCTTCATAGCCACTGTTAATTTTAGACTACAGGATTCTGATTAGCAATAACAACTAGAAGTAGCTGTACAAAATAAGTGGGTCAACCCCTGCTATTTGTTGCACATCCCAGCCATCTCAGAAGGGAATCAAAAGAGTCCTGAAAATCATTATTGCCTACTTGACTTGATGGATAAGAAAATTTTCACAAGAGTTTTTAATTTATCATTTACAATAAGTTCTGAGGTAAGAGGTGTAATATGTCGCATATTAATAAATCTCATCACAAATTTTTTCATAAAGAAATTTGTATTTCCAAGTTAAGGAGAAATACAGAATACTGGAGTACATGATAGAAAATACAAAAATAGTGATAATAATAGACTGATAAATAAGAGACTATGGGACACACACACACACACAGTGTTTTATATGAGATAATAGCAGCATGATGAAAATTCCAAAGAACACAAAAGAGGTGGCTACCTATACCAGGGTTGGTTAGGGAGGCTTCATTGGCCTTCTCCTAGTGAAGATGAAGGATGCTGAGCAGAGAAAAGCCAGAATGGAAATGGGATTAAAGCTAGAGAAAAAGCAAAAGCGAAAGTATACAAGTCTAAAGGAACACAATATGCTGGAAAATCTCAAATAATTCTGGATAATGAACACGCAAAGTGTGTAGGAACTAGGTAGAAACAAAACTAAACATAAAAGTTTTAAATGTCATTAAAAAAGTTTGAAGTTTATTCCACAGTTGTATTAAAACCATTAAAAGATCTTAGCCAAGAGATTATTCACAATAGCAAACACATGGAACCAACCCTACTGCACCTCAAAAGTGGACTGGGTTAAAAAAAAATGTGGTACATATCCACGAAGGAGTATTACACAGCCATAAAGAAAAACAAAATCGACAGGGCTTGTGGCTCAGTTCATAATCCCAGCACTTTGGGAAGCCTAGGTGAATGGACTGGCTGAACCCATGGGTTCAAGACCAGCCTGGGCTACTTGGCGAGAACTTGTCTCTACAATAAATCAAAACTCAGTCAGGCATGGTAGTATACGCGCCTATAGTTGCAGCTACTTGGAAGGCTGAGGCAGAAGGATCGCTGGAACCCAGCAGTTTGATGCTGGGGTGGCCGTGAATGTGCCACTGCCCTCCATCCAGCCTGGGCGACAGAGTGAGACTCCGACTCAAAAAAAGAAGAAGAAATCATGGACTTCACAGCAAATTGAATGGAAGTGGAGACCATCATACTCAGCGATCTATCACAGAAACAAAGAACTGAACATTGTATGTTCTCACTCATAAGTGGAACCTGAACGTTAGTCACATTAACACAATGGAGAGATTTTCAGTGGCTGGTCACTGGTTTGGTTGGGGGAGGAGAATGTAAAACACAGAGGGTTCCTGATCCTCTACCAGGGGGAGTGAGAGCCAGTTGGAGGCCCAAACTTCCCCTGCACGCAGCCTACTTGTGTAGTTAATCCTTACTTGTATCGCACATCTCTATCATAAAATAAAATTAAAAAAAAAAATTTAGCCAAGAGTATGACACAATTCAAGCCACATCTTAACAGACTGGTAATAACTCTAGCAGTCATGTAGAGTTTGAAAAGGAACGGGGGAAATGAAGGTGAATAATTCAGTTCAACCTTTCAACAGAGAGCACATAGCATATCCAGAGCTAATTCCACTCTACGCAATTCCAAATGGCCATTTAAGACTCACTAGAAAGCACTAAATGCAAAGCCTTCTATGATGCATAGTCCTCTAAACACATGTTTCTAAGTTAAAGACATCTTTATATATAGGATTATAATCTTTTTTAAAAGAGAAATGTCACAGCAAGGTTCTAATTCATAAATAAAATCACAGCTCATGAATTTAAGGTTTCACTGAACTGGACTGCAGAAAAGAAGGAAGTAATAGTGAATTGGTGTCCAAGAAACTTAGTTAGGCAGAGAGGAAGAAATATGAGTGAGGAAACATCTTCCATCGTCAGTCGTTGTATTTGCTACTGGTGATCGGGTTACGATGAGTAGCTGCAAATCATGCCAGAGAAATAGTGACCACAGTTCCTTGACCCTTGGAGGAAAATTACTTCTGAAGAGCATTTCACAGATTGCTAATTTTTCTACACCAATCAATCAGCTATGGGACAGATCTATCACCAAAATGGTCTGCTTCTGCTATGGCAAGCCACTTAAGGGGCTCACAGACCATTTACCTGAAAATAAAAATCAAGTTGATTCAGACTTTCTTTTCATTCCTGAGCTACCGCCTGAAATATATGGTACTATATTCAAAGTTAAGAAGAAATACAGAATACTGGAATGCATGATAGGAAATACAAAAATAGTAATAATAATAGACTGATAAATAAGAGACTATAGGATGGATACAAACACACACACACACACACACACACACACACACACACACACACACACAGTGTGTTATATGAGATAATAACAGTATGATCAAAATTCCAAAGAAGACAAAAGAATCGGCCACCTACACCAGGGTTGGTTAGGAGGCTTCACTGAGCTTCTTCTAGTGAAGATGCAGGATGCCGAGCAGAGAGAAGCCAGAGAAGAAAGACAAGAAAAAGCAAAGCACCCCTGGCCGCCAAACTATACTGCATAAACATCCAACATTTAGAGAGATTCTTGAGGGCTTATTTAAACAAAAGTTAGAAGTTCTGTAAGAGAACATGGAACTAGAGACACTTTCTGTGGAATCTTGAAAATATATACACACACACACACACATATATATATATGTACATATATATGTAAAGCTCAAAACTCTTTTGAAGTCTAACTTTTC